AGAGTTTCCATATCTCTCGAATTCGAAGGATATGAATATCAGAATATCAAAGTTTGATAAGGAGTACGATTGTCATTCCTTACCACCGGCTACTATTGGTTAGAAAAAGAAGATACAACTCTAGTATCACAATTTATTAAAATAAAGAGTTTCCATATCTCTCGAATTCGAAGGATATGAATATCAGAATATCAAAGTTTGATAAGGAGTACGATTGTCATTCCTTACCACCGGCTACTATTGTCATAGCTAGTCATCTCTGTTGTCGGTTGCCTCCAAATTTTACTTATTAAATCATGATTTTAAATCTTTCAAAACAATTTCATTTTAGATTTTAAAATTCATATCAATTTTACCAGATTTCAAAACTCACTAAACGAGTCCTTAAATTTTTGAAAGTCCACGCTAAGGCTAAGTGCATTTTCCTCACATTATACTGTGATCTCAACTCTCAACGGCACACTTTATATGATGTTGTCTTCAACTTATTTTTGTTCATTATATTTTATTTCAAAATTATATATAGAGTATTTAAAATATTCAAAGATTTACAAAACTAAAAGTAATATGAATTGGTGACAAAAATAAGTAAACAAAGTAAATAAAGTTTGACTTTGAAAATTGTGAACGAGAAGATAATTTATAGAGATTAAACCACATTAGATTATAAGAAAATTTAAATTTAACTAGCATTAGATCAACCCAAATAAGAACATGCCTTAATGTAATTAAGTCAGATCCAATCAGACCAGACAAAGAAAACAAGCCCTTACACAGTTACACTATGCTTTTATGGGCTTTGGCACTACCACATCACCCTTTTAAATCTCACTATTCTAGTTTACATTTAATTTGATAGTAAAGTTAATATTTAAAACTAAATAATAACCTCTTTCTTTTAACAACACTCAATAATGTCATATTATGACAACAAAGACCACCCTTTTTGATCAAATTATTAATGGTTCATCTCTAAACCTCCCCTACCCACCTATCCTCCACCCCTGTGCCTCCCTAAATTACCGAAATGCTACAATTTTATTGTAACATCTCGGCATTTTGGGGGTTGTTAGGGGAGGGAGATAGGAACAATCAAATTTTTGACTAGAGGACCGTAGCTCATATTATCATAATATGATTTTAAATATTGTCAAAAGTATTAGAAGAATAGATGTATTATCAAATATAATATTATTAGGGAAAAATTATTTCAAATAATCTCACCTTTTTGCGTTCTTTTCAAAATAATCTCACTTTTCACTATCACCGAAAATAATCCCATCTTGCCACATGTGTTCGAGATTTGACTCGCTGTTAAAAAGATAACAATCACTTAACAGAATTTTTGAAAAATACATATTTTTCGCAAATAAAAAGAAGGCGGGATTATCTTAGGTAAATTTTTTTCATTTTTTAATTTCTAAATTAAAACTTAAATGTGTTTTTTTAAAAATATTTTTATAAATAATACCAAATTTAAGTGTTTTTTAGAGTGAAACTAATTATTTTTTCCATTAATTGATAATCTGGTGATAATTGGACAATAAATTATTCTACACAATGAAACTAATTTATTTATTTCATAACTCACTACATTTTTTGTAAGTTGTAATTATTTTTCTTGAGCGGCACTTCAAATCACCACGTCAAAAACAGATGCTGACAACTGTTTCTTTTAGTAGTCTCACGGTGCTGATTTTAGTAGTCTTCCGAGCAGCTGTCTGATATACTTACATACTATTGTTTAAAAATAGTTGTGTAAAATGGTTGACGACACCTGTTTTATAATGTTTTAGAGTACGACTTTTTAGTGTTGTCCTTGTATAAGTAAGACATCTGTTTTTTAGAGTTAAAGAGAACTGTGATTTTTTGTTGTCTATCTATAATGAATAGTACTTTTGTTTTTAACTTTAGACTTCTAATTCTTGGTGTTGTCGTTCAATAATATAGACATCTACTTTAAAAAGTAATGCTTTATCCTTTATATATTATATTTGGGAGTTTAACTCCCAGAATTTTGACATTTGTCATGCTGACGGGGATTTTTTTTGACACTTCATAAGCCATGTCATCATATTGGACTTACTCAATATTTCAAACGGGTTGGATAATGATTCATTACTTTGGCCTTCTTTTATTTGGGCTACTCTGTGTGGAATTCATCCGCAAGTCTGAATGAAGCGAGACATTAGCGGCACTTTCCTTCGATTGCACCTCCCTGCGATATTCATCTTTGAATGGCTCCACCGCGAGATTTCAGAGAATATGTGATTGGAATTAATCTCTTTCCTTCTTCATGGTCCTTCTTCACGGAGATTCCAACGATCGGTACCAAGAACAGGTAACTTTCCCTTTTCTTAAAAAATCATAATTGTTTTTGGGATGATTGGCCTTCTTTCCTTCTTATGATGATTAGTCTCTGCAAAATTTGTTCTTCTTTCGAATTTTCCGGTTCAAATCTCTGGATTTTCTACCCTTATTGCTGTAAGTTTCCTTCTTGCGAATTATATTAGGTATATATAAATCAAATTTTAAGTAAGCCATTTCATCAATCTATTTTTTCATTGTAAGCCGCGTTCATACCTAAAACCTCTGATTAATTGACATGTCTTCCAAACCGATTCACCCTTTGTTGAAGATCAATCCATCAAGTGAATGCTGGGGAGTTTTGGTTCGTGTGATTCGACTGTACAAGATGCCAGTGTATAATGATGAGAAGATGACGAATTCGATTGAGATGATATTTATGGACGAACATGTAAGAATTGTACTCTTATTCGTATTTTGCATACAAAATAAAATTTATGTTTAATAGGATTTCTTATAATTTTTTAGTGGCTGGAAGGTTTTTTTGCTTTTACTTTCAAAATATAATTACACTAATCTGTATAAAAACCAAAATTCTTCAATTGCCCATATTGAATAAATAAATGAAGAATCGGTTTGGAAGTAAAAGATTCTTTCAGTTTCTCCAGCCCCTAAGTACTAAAAAACTAATAAAAAATGGCCTCTTTACTTTTAATAGTCTATTAAAGTTGATGTTTCTCCAGTGTTTAAAAACATTAGACTCTAAGATTTTTTATATTGCTTAAACATTGTTCATAATCTCTACAAAAAATTTTAAAAGAGCCTAAAAACATTACACTATAAAAACTGAACAAATGATAAAAACATCTGAATACACCTAATGGTCCCTATTAATATAATGAATATACACAGGTATCGAATTAAGGCTAGAGTGAACGATGCATCAGATAGTGCAACTTTTGTAATATTTGAAAGCGTTGGATGTTTGTTGTTGCATAAGTCCTGCTTCGAGATGCTGAAGTTCTGTGAGGTATGTATACATAACTTATTTCATCGAATGTAAGTACACCATGAGATAAATTATAGTAACATTACAATAAGGAAGTGATGTAATAAAAATTTAATAAATAATAATAGGAAAAATTATCTTAAATAATTTCACCTTTTCACGTTTTCAAATCAAATTTGTATAATTCTATTTTATTGTAAAGAAAAAAGTATTGTGATATGATTTATTTTTCTCTTTTTTATTAATTTTAAGTAATCCTGTACATCGGTCTGTTCAAGAGTGTATAAGTATTTGAAAAAACATATATGAATGATAAAGACGTTCCCGGTGATCAAGAGCATGATAAAGACGTTCCCGGTGATTGCAACATGGTATCGGAACAAAGGTTCTTAAAAGCCTAGCTCTTCCTTTTCCAATCGAGCACATCGCCCCTCTCGGTTCCCGGTGATCGACCATTAAACAGCATGGCGTCACCGGCTGATCTCGACGGGTGTGCCTAACAGCGAGCCATCGTCTATCATTCCTCTCTTTAGTCTCTAAAAAACATTATATCCCCTTCTTCCCAAAAAATTATGTACGCGATCGAAGAACGAGAAAGTTGCATCTGTTTGTATTTTTTCTAGAAATCGAGAGCATGGAAATCGAAAGAGATGGAGAGAACGTAACGGCCCAAAAGGAGAAAAAAAACTTCTCACCCTCGTTCTAATTATCCATTCTCAGCGGGCTAAAACTCGATCAGCAAACGTAATCTCAAGCTCGTTTGTCATGCAATAAAGATTTGGGTCTCTACTTCTAGAGGTTATCTTACAAAATTGCTTCCACCAGCTCAATACCAGTAACTGGGCTTCAAGCTGCTTCTTGTTATCGATGATCAGCTTACAGGGTGATATTAGGAATAATAGATCTATTAGAAAATAGAATATTATTATTATTACCTTATTACACTACTTATTGTATTGTTACTTTAATTCCTCTCCAACTTAGATTAGAATTTTCTCTTATAATCTCTATATATAAGAATGTATCCTTCATTATTCAATAAGACCAATTATTATCAAATTGTATAAAAAAGAACATGGCGGAAACTAAAATAAATTCTTTCAAAAAATTTGAGTATGAAAAAATTAAATAAAAGTACATCTCAATTTTTTTTAAAAAAACTAGACTACAATTTTAAAAAGTTAAACTGAAAAACATTTGAAAATAGTAGCGATCGCCAGATCCTCGAAGCTTTCAATATAGGTTTGGGCAACATCAAGCTCCTCTTCCCCGGTCCATTTGGTCATGCCTAGCTTTGAGGTTTTCTCCACCACCTCTTTTTTCTTATGTTTTCTCTTGCTACTTGCCAGCTCTCTTCTGTTTTGGGTTATGCATTCGGTTGATATTGGGATGAAGTTTTTTGTTATGTTTCAGGAATGAAACCATACATGAATTTGAGAATTGATGTGAGTTGGTTTAAATTTGGTGCTAGCTGGAATCAACTTTTGACATTTAGTACTCCGTAATTGGTTTATTGCGATGTTGGGGGCTATGGTTGAATCCATTTGCGATCAGTAACAATTGAAGAGGGAGTAGTTAAAGTAGAGGTTGTTGTTGGGATCCGTAGAGAGATGATCAAATTTTAAAAATAAAAATTATTGAGGGGAGAAATTAAAGATTTTTGAACTAGTAAGTTGTGTGAATGCGTTAAAAAAGTGAAATGAGCTGAACTTCTCTATGCCCGTTCTCAACGGCAAAAAATCACTAAAATCGACGGGGTAATGCCCGTGATGGCCATCACGCATATGTGACAGAGCAAGACACACGGTCACCAGACCCGAATGACCTTAGAGCATCTCCAACTTCATTTGCTTCAAATGTAAAACAATAATCTATTTGACCTTGAGTCAAAATAATTGATATTTACTTTGATGTGTTAGAATAATTTCTAAGTGCGGGTTTTGATAATAACAAGTAGTTTGTAAAGAGTGTGTCAAGTGACAAACAATGTGTTGGATTAAACGATGTGATGACTGTTGAGTGTGGGCCAGGAAGCTAGGTGGAAGCTAACAGGAAATTGGCAGGAAGCTACCTAGAAGCTTACAGCTTAACCATTGTCTCCCTAACTAATCTCTATTTAAGAGATGCTAATGTGCTTGTAATTGTGGTGCAACAACAATGAAATAAAATCCTCCTAGTTGCCCGTGTGGACGTAGGTTGCAGTTGGCGGCCGAACCACGTTAAATCATGTATCGTTTATTTTTCTGTAGTTGATTCGTGATAGTGTGTTGTTTCCGCGTGCGTTTATTCCCAACAAGTGGTATCGAAGCTTTGGTTCGTTAACACACCGGAAATCCGATCAGCAGGAACTAAATAAGAGAGAGGAGTGTCACCTAAGAACCTGGTGCAGCAGCAGGAGCCGGAGTGAGGGCCGCTGCCATCGAAGCACCACCATCCCCGTCGATCCCCACGGAGCACTGTCGCGCTTGAATCGGGAGACCCGCAGTAGGGAGTGAGTCGCGAGAGACTCGCCGCAGTCGCCATCAATCGCACAGCCTATAATCGTCGTCAGCCACGCGCAGAGGAGCAGCCGCTGGTCCGTCCAGCCTCCGCCACTAGACACGCGAAGAGGTGCATCTCTGGTCCGTCCAGCCGCCGCGTTGAGGAGATCCGACGCCGTCGAGTTGAGGAGCCGCCGTTTCCGTCCAGATCGAAAGGCGCTACCATTGACCTAGTTGCCGCCGAGCTACTATATCGCCGTCCAGTACAGATTGTCGTCACCATTTGACTTCCGACTGCCGCATGCAGGAGCCGCCACCGCGTGGAGGAGCCGCCGCCATCCTCATTTGAAGCTGCTGGTTCGAGCAGGCCACAAGCCGCTGTAGTCTTCAGCCGCAGAGTGTCCAGAAGCTTTGCTGTGCACTGGCAAAAAGGAATTTTTTTTCTTTTGGCAGGTACTGTTTAATCTTATTAGTGGAGTATTATTATGGATCGTGACTTGTGGATTGGTGAGGTGCTATTGGGTGTATTATTGGAGTGGTGGGCCACTGGTGAGAAAAAAAGAGTGGTGTAAGCCATTGTAGAATTTTTGTGTGGAAGTGGTGTGTTGTTTTTGGGAGGTGGAGGGTGAAAAGGTGGGCCAACATTATTAGTGGTGGGTAATTGTTTTTTGGGGTGGTGTTAATTTTTTGTATCCTAGATATCTTATCTGATAAAAATATCAAGATCTGAAATTAGTTGTTCCGGGTTTCTCATCTTGTCGTTAGAGATGACAGAAGATGGGAAGTTCCGAATTGAGAAGTTCGATGGTACAGATTTCAGTTGGTGGAAAATGCAAATTGAGGATTTGCTGGTTCAGAAAGATTTGGACGTGGTTCTAGGTGACAAGCTAGAAAAGATGTCAGATGCAGATTGGGCAGGTTTGGATCGGAAAGCAATGTCTGTGATCCGACTATCGTTGACCAAGAATGTTGCATTCAACATTCTGAAGGAGATGACAGCGAAAGGCATTATGGAAGCGCTGTCTAACATGTACGAGAAGCCATCTGCAGCAAACAAGGTGTTTCTGATTAGAGAATTGGTAAATACAAGGATGAAAAATGGCACTTCAGTTACCGAGCAAATCAACAAGTTGAATTCGATCTTAGCCAGAATTTCGTCAGTGGGCATTAAGTTCGATGATGAAGTTCAAGCTCTACTAATGTTATCGTCATTGCCTGACAGTTGGTCCGAAAGTGTTACAGCAGTTACCAGTTTAGCGAGACCTGACCGATTCACTTTTGAGAAGATTTGTGATCTCGTTCTTGGCGAAGATGTCAGAAGAAAGAGTTCTGGTGAGTCTTCTGGAGAATAACTAAATATCGTCAGAGGTAGAAGAAATAAGAGAGGTAGTGGGAGCAAGAACAGACGAAGGAGTCAATCAAAGACTCGAGATAGCTCAGGCGTAACATGCTAGAAGTGCAAGGAGGTGGGGAATTTCAGGAATCAATGTCTAAAAGAGGATAAACAAGTAAACATTGTTGAAGGTCCGCAAGCGACGAGGATTTGTTTATCTGTTGTGCGGAGAGCAATGTGGATTCCTGGATCATAGATTCTGGTGCTTCATTTCATGCTACCCACAGCGGTGAAGCATTGCAGAATCTAGTTGTTGGGGACTTTAGAAAGGTACGACTAATGGACAACAGAGCTCTTGATGTTACGGGCATGGATGACATAGTGCTGAAGACCTTAGTCGGTTTCTGGACTTTGAAGGATGTTAGAGTTGTTCCAGCCTTGAAGAAAAGTTTGATTTCTGTCAGGAAATTGGATGAACAGGGACACGAAGTGAAGTTCAGAGACAGGCAGTGGAAGGTCATAAAGGGAAATCTTGTCATGGCCCGCGGAAGAAAGATCGGGTCGCTGTACATGGTCGAGTTACTGTCTGAGGGAGTGACCATCCCAGTTCAGAAGAGAAACAAAGTCCGGTTCACAGAGTCTCGTGGGCAGAAGAAGGTTTTCTATGCAAGAGAGAAACCTAGAGCCACAGGTCAGACTCATGATGAACGAGCGAGGAAAGGTTTAAGGAGGCCAATCAGAGGTATCTATGGCAGTGGGAGCACAGGTGGTGCTTCAGCCAAGGTTCTTAGAAGACAGTGGGTCCGAAGAACCAGTATTTCAGCTGTTGAAACATCTCCAAAAAATTTCTTGTTGAGTATGGAGAGTGTTTGTTCTCAGGATGTTTCAGGATCCGGCAGTGTGCGTCTGCAGTGGGAGCTAGTAGGGACCGAGGACGAGTCAGGGGCAGTTCAAGCCATGACTAATGGGTTGAAACTCATGAAAGTTTCAACAGAGCCTTCTCGATGATCAAGAAGGCTGGTGGCAACTAGAGGTGGTGGAATTTTGAGTTCCCTTATCAGATTACAGAAGTACATGTGCATAGTTGAAGCGCAGGTGAACATTGTTCTGTGGCTTCAAGTGGGAGATTGTTGAGTGTGAAGCCAGGAAGCTAGGTGGAAGCTAACAGGAAATTGGCAGGAAGCTACCTAAAAGCTTACAGCTTAATCATTGTCTCCCTAACTAATCTCTATTTAAGAGATGTTAATGTGCTTGTAATTGTGGTGCAACAACAATGAAATAAAATCCTTCTAGTTGCCCCGTGTGGACGTAGGTTGCAGTTGGCGGCCGAACCACGTTAAATCCTGTTTCGTTTATTTTTCTGCAGTTGATTCGTGATTGTGTGTTGTTTCCGCGTGCGTTTATTCCCAACAATGACAAGCAATGTGATTGTCAAGCAAAGATGTGAGCCTATTCCAAACAATCTTTTGATTAAATGAACATGTGCTAAGCAATGAGAATGATGTAAGGTTTTGCTAATGATGCAAAGAGAAACATGCATTGCTTAAAAATTCAAGACCAAAGATCCAAAGACATAGGTCGTTATGTACACTCATGTAAGAGCAAATCTATTTTATCTTCTCTCATAGCTCAACTAAGTCAATTTACAAATGCACAAAATCATAGGTTTCAAAGTTGTTTATGCCAAAAATGATATTTTAAAATAGATAATGACATGGCTTTTTGGCTGAAATTAACACAACAATCGATTGTCATAATGTGACAATCGATTTCCAGATTATTTTTGCTTTTTGAGTAGGCAATTGACAATCAACTGAAACAAGCCAACAATCGATTGGCAATACGTGACATTTGTTTGTCACCCTATTTTATAGCCTCAAATAATTGGTTGTCATTGATTGATAATCGATGGTTAATTAATTCAGACTTTTTCTAGGAAACTTCTAAAAGGTTAAATGTTTTAAATTCATAATTTCTTGCTTGACTGATTTTTAATCAATGAGCAACAGTCACCTTGGTTTTCAGCTTATATATTGGGGTCTCTGGCTTTGTTTTTTAGTAAACAACTACTCTCATTTTTTATCATTTTTTTCATATCATTTGTTCATCAAATCTATAGCTTTTGTTGAGCCATTTGAAAAATAAACTTGTGTTATTCATAGATCTTATATCGTATCTCTTAGTCCACTTTTAAAAGAGAGTACTTAGAATAAATTGAAAGAGAAGTTCAAGAAGATGAAATCTTCTTGTTGAGTGTTCTGGTACGCTAAGAACTCGTGATCTTGTAAGTGGTAAGAGTGAAGTCTTCGGCGATGACTGTGAGCAGTGTGAAGTCTTAGACGAGGAGTGTGAGCGCTTGAAGTATTATATATAATACATTTACGAGCAAGTGTAAATTGTCAGGAGCTAGACTTGCCACGAGTACCTATATCATGCATCTAAATGTACAATGTTTCTCTTACATTTGCATGAATACTCATTTTTGAGTAATTAAATACTCCCTCTGTCCCAGAAAACATGGGAGTTTTGGTTTTGGAGAGGGATTTAAGGGGAGTGTATTTTGGTATTGAATTTCCAAAAATGTCCTTTGATGTGATGGGTAAAAGTATGATTTGATGGATAGATTATTAGTAAAAAGGTATGATGTGATAGGTAGGATATGAAAAAGTAAGGGTAAACGTGACTTTTTAATAGAAATGAGAAATGTTTTTTGGGACGGATGAAAAAAGAAAGGAGAACGGTTTTCTGGGACAGAGGGAGTACTTGTTTTTGCGTAAGAGAGTTCTCGTTTTCAAGTAACTTAATATTAAATTTTTAGCGTAACTGAATTTTAGAAAAATGAGTGTTTAGTTACTCAAAAATGAGTATTTAGTTGCTCGAAAATGAGTATTCAGATACTCATAAATGAATGTTTACTGCGAATGTATGAGAAACACCGTACAATAAGTTGTGTGGTGTATATTGCGACCATGTTTTATATATGATGAATCAATATACAAATCCTTGTGTTGTTCTTTGCTCTTTTCTTTCCACACTTTACATTATTATTACATTTTTTATTTCATGATGATTAACATTCTCGCGTCACACTATTTTACCTCAAAACCCCGAGTGTTGGGCATCATTCTAACATAGCTAGGGTGTAGGGTATGGACACGATAAAATGAATTTGGTACCAAAATCGAATGATGTGGCATTTTGGCAAAGACCCCTTACCGACTGGGTAAAAAAATGATTGGTAAAGTAGTCTATAGGGTTGTCGATCATGCTAGGCACATCTGTATCTCCTCTTTATGTTTTTATTTTTGTTTGCATTATTTTTTATATTTCAAAATTAAATATTTAAAAAATTAAATATTATTTAACTATATTTTTTGGTATATGTAATTACTCCTTTAACATAATTTTCGAGCATATAATTTTATTTTATTAAATACCTAGAGAGACAAATCCAAACTATTAATTTATAATAGGCGGAGTATTTAATAAACGTTTTAAATTTAGTTTATATTATTGGCCGGAGTTGATTACTTAAAAATATTCTGAATTAATTTATATTATTATTTCAATTTAACTATTTAAAAAATTATTGTGATAAGTTGGCGAATTGACGTATGTACATCATCACTTGTAGTAAAAAAGTATAATTTAGGGAATAAAAAAGTTTAAATCTTACATTAGGAAACTCATTTGAACAAAGAATGAGTTTCAAAATTTTAAAACAAGTAGAATTTTTTATTTAACTTTTAAATATAAATTCATTTTTTATGCAGAATTTATTATGTAAATTTTAAGTATAGAGTATATACATAGAATTATTATTTTTTATTTTACACTATTTTTTTTAAAAAAATAAAGTCTTTTTATGTGTTCGTCCTGGCTAAAAACTGAAACTGAACTATACAAACACCACGTGTGAGTCCATTGTCAAAACATGACCTAGGGTACCTACGTTGTTCTGTTCCTACCTCCTACCCCCTAAACTCCTATGCACCCCCTCCTCCCACCCCACTCTAGCCAATCGGCAAAGGAGAGGATCTGTGGGGCGCGGCCGAGGAGCAGAAAAGATTAAGAGGAGTAAGAAATTAAGAATAATCATGGGGTAATGACTAAACTAGGAGTAAAACATATCTTATATCCTCAAAATAGGAGTTGAAACTTAAACTCCTCTAAATAAGAGTAATTAACTTCATTAATCTAAGAGTTAAGAAACAAAAATAGAAGTAAAAATTAACAATATACCAAGTTAGGAGTAGAAACAAATATTCAAATTAGGAATTATATTATACACAATAACATTTACAAATTTTAAAATGACTATTGTTGTTCAAATGCGACATACAACTGCCAGTGATGGTAGCACCCCAGCCAGCCCCGAGGATGCCGGCATTGCACCGCCCTAGTGGCCGTCGGCACCGGCTCTCCAACCGCCACTTGTGATGTCACCGACAACACCGCCCATGCCGCCATCAATTGAACTTCCATTGTCGCAGCGATCTGCTACTTCAATCATATTTGTTTTTACGTCGTTGTTGTCGTGCTTTGTCGCCGCCCCCGACACTGCCACAGTCTACCACTTTCACCATCACATGGCCATGGTGCCACAATAACTATTATTAAAGAAAAAACTATAAATACAATGTTAAAAATGGTAATGCATAATGACAAATATGTCACTAGATAATGACAAATATGCCAGTGTATAATGTTAAATACGACAATGTATAATGTAAAATGCAAAGTAAAATGCTAAGAACAATGTAGGTTGCAAACATACAATGACATCACAGTACCAACACCTAGAAATGCTAATATAATGTTAAAAATTTTTACCTTTCCATAGAAGCAAACTAGAATCACCTAATTAATCACCAAAACTCACAAATCACACCAATCATCCCTTGAAGCGATCGTGGGGTTCATCTAAGGAATAATTTCATATACTGTATGATTATGGAACAAAGTGGGGATCATGCTCGTTTTTGAAGAAAGCGAACAAGAAGCTCAATAAATGAGAACTATTTTCAAATTCCTCAAGAAGTAGGGGCGGCGGCGGCATGCGACTGGGTGTGGGGGCAGTAGCCTGCGATTTGGCGGCGATCCCAATTGGAATTGATCGAGGGAGGAGAGAGGAGTGGGAGATCGACCGGAATTGATCTAGGATGATCGATCGAAAATAAATACGATTAGTTTGAGGGGTTTGTTTAAATAAAAACAAAATTTAATTAATTACTCCTATTTACAGGAGTTTAAGTTTGAACTCCTAATTTGAGAATATAACATATGTTTTATTCTTATTTAGGGGTTTTCTTAATAATCATTTTTTCGAACAGAGCACTGTATTTATCCGAATTATGGCGTATGATATTGGACTCTAATGTCAAAATAACCGGCGCTACAAACCAAATCTCTCTTTCGGCGTTCGTCTTAGCAGGTGTTCTTTCCTAATTTATTTTGCTAAAGTCGAGCCTTCAGGATCTTTGTTTCTTTCTTTTCTTGTCCCCATAAATAAAGAACTAGATATCAGATGACCCACCGCGCACTGGAACTATTAAAGGCCAACATAAAGTGAAGCTTCATGAACAACGTTCATCTACCCCACTCTCAAATTGTTACACTCCTATTAGCTAGGTAAGTTCTAAGTATTACTCTCTCTATATTCTTTCGTCCTAAAACATTCTTCCGCTTTTGGACTTTCGTTTCTACGATATTTAGCTTAAGTTATTTAGAAAATCATAGGCATGCTCGATCTAGAGCTCAATTTGGCAATTTCATCTATGAGCGTTATACACTGTAGCCTTTGGCTGGAGCTGGCTCTTTGCGCTTCGCTTCAAATGAATTGAATTATGTTCAACGAAGAATGGAAAAAAAGTCGTGATTGATGTGTGTGGAGGGATAGATGTGCTTGTGCTACGGGATCACGCGGAAGGATGAGACTCAAATAAGATCTGCCCATGCGGCCAGTCTCATCGAAAATTGGAGTGTCATGAGCTTATCATGGGGGGTTCATTTGGTAAAATCAAACCGAACCAAAACTCTGGTGCTTATAAGCTATTTATAAGCCAGAAAAAATAAGTAGGTTTTAACTACTTATTTTTAAGCTAGTTTTTTTTATTTCTCCATTTTGACCAGATTAGCTATGAAATTGTTCTTCACCATTTATTAATAGGTACAAATGATTTATCTATCATTTAAGTCATTTTAAATCCACGAAAGAGTATCTGACTTATAAGAAACTTATAAGCTAAAAATTGCTTATCAACAATAAGTCAATTAGCACCATCACAGAGAAACATCAACTTAAAAAGTCAAACCAAAAACTAAACTTTTGGGAAATGAAGAACTACATACTGAACAAAAATATTTGGTTCAGTTTAGATACATACCAAAATATCAGTTACAGTTTGGTTTGATTGGTTTATCGAAATGTCCACTACACCCTTAAGCATATTCAATCCCGTTTCGGTTTTTTATGTTTAATTAAAGTTATTTATTTAGTTGTACGTATAAAATTTAAAAATAAATTTTAGATATTTAAAAACTAAAACAAAAGTTATACTCTATATAAAACAAGAAATGACATGACTATATTATTTTATCAAATGATAAATAAAAATTGATAAAGAAAATAATTATAGTCTGAGTGTGTGAATTGTAATGTAGTGCATGCGAGAAAATTTTAGGACGAGAAGTGTAATAATGTATTATGTATGAACCTCTTCATATAAGTTAATTGATAAAAAAACAAATTAAATACAACCATGAGATACACCAAAAAGTTTACTCTAAATTGTACCCCAAAGGGATGCAATAGTATTTTAACAATTCATACTGACACCTATACAAAATGTCAATTTAATAAAAAAATTGCAGTGACATTTTATGTAATTGTAAACCATAACACGAGCATTATATTAGTACAAAATGTTGGCACATGTCTTCGGGGTACAACTTTTAGGATACACATAGTTTAGTTCAATTAAATAAGTACTTCGAGTCTTTGAGATACTTATTACTCCGGGGTATAACATTTTGAATAGAAGCGGAGTGTATAGGTAGTAAAAAAGTTCATGATTTCTGATCTTAAGTAGATCTTAGGTTCACATAAGAATTTTCTAAGTAAAATAGCTTTGATTAAAAATTATTTAGAAAAAAATATCAGTCACAAAATCATTTAAAACAATAATAAATGAAAGAGCTGGGGACAACTCAAAAAAATAAATAAACAATATACTAAAAAGTAAGTACTCCTTCGGTTTCATAAAATTGTTTACATTTATTTTGTCCGTTTTAAAAAAAAATTCATTTATGCAAAAACTTCATATGGTGCATATTATTTCTCTTCAATATCCGATCGCTACCTCTATCTAGAGTACTTGTCCAGTTTGACTTTTGCAAGTTTAACGTGCTGAATTTGAAACACTAAATTAAATAACTATTGTAATATTTATTAATATAAAAATGATTTTTATTAGATTTTAAATGTTGAGAACTTTCAAAATTTTATTTTAATGTATTAATATTCAATACAAATGAAATAAATTAATGATTAAAGTTTATCAAATTTGACTTGAATCAATATTTTTTATTGTTTAGTTTTTTTTTAAAAAAAGATTAATTTGAAAAAGTTAAAGTGAACAAATACACTAGAAATGAAGAAATGAGTATTATAAATTTACTTTAATAATTTAAAATAAATTACGTTAAATAGGAGTAAAACATAAAGAATGCACCAAAATATGAGTTCCGTATTTTTATTTTCTAAATAGTAGTTCGCACTGTGGTAATGTGACACTGTACATGTAGATTTTACTATACTTTTTGGTAATGTACATGGTCATGATTGATACTGTAAATGCTTTTAACTTCTATTTCGGGAATAAAAATATTGAACTTCTATCTTGGTATATTTTCAATATTTACTCATACTTTAGTCTTTTTTCATTCTTTAGGGTTGTGGTGTGCGCCCTCATCTTTTTCCCTTTTTCCATTTACCAACTTAGCGTCACGTCAGCTTTAACTTTCACATCCCCCTTCCTTCCCTTTTAGGGAAATGTCTCCCCCTTTTTTCCCTTCAATTTTTAATAATATTTTCTAACACTAATTTTAATTTAAATAATTAAAACAAAAACATAAAAACAACAAAAATTTACTTAAAGCTTTTATTTTATTAAACTTAAAATAATTGAATATTTCATAAATAATTTAAAGCGATACATTAAAAGTGATACGTTAAAATTAAATTAAAAGGATACTAAAATTGATACATTAAATAATTAAGATACAATAAAAGTATTGTTACACAATTAAAAAATAAATTAACACTTGTTTTAACACTTATTTTAATGCTTATTTTAATTACAGTAATTAAACTAAAAACATACTCCGTAAAATACACTTAAATAATACAAATTTACAAAAATTCAAAATAAAAATAAAAAATAAATTTAAAAATAGAAAAACTGAAAATTAAAAAAATCCAAATAAAAAACAAAAAAAACAATTAAAAACTTAAAAAAAGGAAAAGAAATAACGAAATGAAAAAATAAAGAAAGAAGAAAGAAGCGACAAAAAGGAAAAAGAAGAAAAGGAAGAAACGAAAAAGTCAAAAAAGTAAACCGGAAAAGAAAAAATGGAAAAGCGAGCCCGCCTTTCCTATTCCCGAATAGGGAGGGGGGAAGGACGGACGATGTTCCCCTTTCTTTCCGGCTGCCACATCACCCTTCTCCTTTCCTTCCGGCGTGGCGCACCGCACCACGGCCACGGCCTAACAATTGTGCTGATTTTTTTTTGGTAAAGGGAGGAGTAATATTATAAAGTTGTTGTAGTAGACAATAGATTGAAGAAAGTGTGACATGTGACTGCAGATTAGCCTATCAAATATATACAACAAAATACAAATAAAAACAAGAAGCTTCTTGCCTAAACTATGCCACTGTTATCGGACACTTGTACAAACCCCAACAGAGGGCGTAGCCTAGCCGACAAGCTAATGCGTAGTAGTCTGTCCCTCCCACCATTTTGACCTTTTTAATTAGGATAAAGCTATTTGTACCCCATGTTTTGTACCCCACTTTGTACCTCGTAGCTTTGTATCAACACTTTGTGTTAGTGTAAAACTAATTTTTGTTAATGCACCAACACTTTGTGTCCGTGTAAATTTTCGTTAACGCACCAACACTTGTGTCGGTGTAAACCATCAAAATGTTTGTGTATAACTGTGGTGTACAAATGAGGTACAATTTGGGGTGTAAGTGTAGCATAACCCTTTTAATTAGGAAAATGTTATGTGTACCCCGGGTTTGTACACCGAGTGTACACCAAATAAAAGGTTACCCTACCCCACCCTCCATTTACCCATTCTTTCCCTTCTCTGTGCCCCCCACCCGTCTCTCTCTCTCTCTCTCTCTCTCTTTTCCGATCAATTTCCGACGGGCGTGCACGATGTGCGTTCATCTTCTTGTTCCAATTCCTCAGTACCAATGTCGCCATCTTCGTTTTGCTCCTTCGTCTACCACGTTGCCCTCTACTCCAAGCCTTCGTCTTCGCACTTCCGCACAGGTAAATCAAATATGGTTTGGTTCATTGTTATTTCCGAATTTGTTCATTTTCGATGGAGGTTTTGATTTTCCAATTTGATTAAGGCAAAAATTGAATTTGATTTTGTTCACAGATCTAATTTTGTGTGCGCTTGCATATAGTTCTTGGCAATTTTATTTTGTGCATACACTAAATTTCCCAGTCTACTTTTTTAATATTGCACTAGGTAAAATTTTATCTAATTTATTTTCAATTTGCTTCAATAACTTGATTATCTTACCAAAATAGTGATTGAAGCTGCCAAATTTGTAGGCCTAAGCCTATACCTTTTGGTGTTTTTTCTCTGTTTGCCATTTTCTTCTTGCTTCCAATAAATCTTGACCTCTCTTATAAATAAAGAAAAGTAGAAGTTGATTTAATGTGAATTTATTTGTCATATACTTATAAAAGTACTTGAGTTAAATTGGGTTTAATGCTCAACAGCTCAATTTTCGAATGGTTCACTGCCTTTTACTTTTTTTTCACATGCTTAAAGCACTTGCATAAAATATGTAATCAGTATTGTTTTTTCGCATAAAATGTGTGTGATTCATTGAACACAGACACTCATTGCCTGTTTCATCTGGATAAAAATTGTATCGATCTAATACGCCAAATTATCCTATATAAAAAGTATTTCACAGTTTTCCAAAGCAAGAATGAAATTTACAAATACCACTATTTAGTTACAAAGATTCTTAATGTCTGTAAGTATTGATACATAGACATTTATGATCTGTGTAACATTGAAGAAAATTACAGCAGTCAAATATGTCAAAAGACACCTACTGTTTATGTACCCTGAATAAAATTGCTCCGCCATCTCAACTAGATTCCATCGCTCCAGTGACGCTGTTGAAGGAGAAGAAAGACGATGTGGCAATAGGGGAGGAACGGGCGTTGACAACGAAGAAGATTGGCGGGGCGGGGAAGAGGATCGATCTCATGATATAGATCCTGTGGCGGTGATGATGAAGGCATGGTGCTGCGTATAATTCAAGACTCAACTTTAGCTCTTTGGTTGTATAACCTCAGGCTTTTGGGTCGTTAGGTCTCATTGGCTTTGTTTTTTTGTATGTGTTGGCTCTTTATGTATTACATTACCATCCATACAGCTGGATATCGACTCAAAAAAGTGTACATATTTCATGTTTGTTTCGTAAAACTCTTTATTTGTGAGACAAAAATCATGATTGAATTGCTTTTTTTACGCACCTAAGCAGCTCAAGAATCTTTATTGAATTGCTTTTCTTAAGCACCTATGCAGCTCACAAACATTAGTGTATGTGAGTTTGTAATCACAAACATTACGTGTCTGTAATTGATTGGAAATAGATGTTTATTGTTCTCCATGTATTTAATATATGAAAATTGCACTTGTTAAATATACCAAATAATACAATAATAATAATATTTCATGATTTTTTCTTATATTGTAAAAATAAACTAAGTACGGAGTATGTTTTGATCACATAGACAACAAGCGTATGTAATTTATCGTAAACAGAAACTTATTGTCTGTAAAACCTAAATACAAATTTACATCTGTCAAATATACCACATAATGTTATCATAAAGAATATTTCACAATTTTCTCTAGATTGTAAAAAAACAATTATACAAAGTATAGTTACACTAACACTAAATATCTATAATGTTTGATACACAGACATTTATTATTTGTGTAATTTAGATGAAAATTTCACCCTTCAAATCTACAAAATAGTACTGTACCAAGAACATTTCAGAAATTTTCATATGTTTACAAAAAGAAATGAAAAATTACAATCAATACTGTTTAGTCACACAGACACTAAAAGTCTTTATTTTCTTGAACAGAGACATTTGATATTTGTGTAATCTGAATCAAAACAGACCTTTACTCTCCGTGTAAATATATTTCACAAACAAGGAATGTCTATACTATTTTAGTCACACAGACAAATTAAGTCTGTAACTCTTTCAACACAGATACTTCAAATCGTTTTAACTTTGATGAAATTTGAACCCCTTAAATTACCAAATACGGAGTAATCAAGTATGAAGAATATTTTATAAATTTCCATATGTTGTCAAAAAGAAAAAGAAACTGCAATTAACATTGTTTAACTCAGAGACATTAATACTCTGTAGTTCATCGATCACAGACAGTACATGTCTGTGTATCGCGAATTAAAAATTGCAGCCCCATCTCCACCAGAATCAAACCCTTCTGTGAAGTTGTTGAAGAACAAAGACTCAGTGACGGTTGGGGAGGAGTGACCGATGACGAGAAGCAGGCGGTAGAGGAGGAGTTGATGCGGCGGCATATGACTTGATGAATGCGTGGTTCACCGCTATGATCCGATCTAGATCTGATGGTGATGATGCCTCTGTTGTGAGGCTTATGGGTTGGCGAGGGGGAAGCCCAGACTGTGCATCTTCTAGGCGGCATGGAGTATCCTACGAAGCAACTCCTCTGGCGACGATGATGAAGGCATGGTGTTGCAGCGTCGGCCACCGGCGAGAGTTGAAGGGGTAGAGAGAGAGTGATGGAGATTAGATCTGAGAATGAAAGGTGGGGGATGGGTTATCCATTGAGAGGGAGGGGTGAGTGTATATGGTGTACAAGATGGGGTACACGAGTGGTGTACCCCTAGCACCCCTGTTTTAATTATTTTTGTTGTTCTATTATTTTTGGGCAATGCTAGGGGTACCCCATGTTGGTGTACCCCTAGCTTAATTCATTATTTTTCTCTTTACATACTCCCTTCATCCCCAATTTCATTATAAATTAGGGTTTACGAAGAGCAATATCGCACTTTATGAAATCATTTTATTTACAATTCGGTATATCAATAAATAATAAAAATTACATATTAAAAAACTACATCAAAAGTTTTACAAAATAAGAGGTGACAAGAATATTTTATTTTATCAAATACTTAATGAAATCGCATAAACAAAAGTTATCGAGAGGAGAGAGAACAGAAAATTGTAATCAAATTGGAGACGGCGGGAGTATTCGGTTATATTTATGTACTCCTGGCAAATGGACCTAAAGTCCACCATGGACCTACTATACATATAAGCAAAATAAACATTTCTTTACTACTTAAATAATAATCATTTATTTTTTAAAATAAAAAAATTAAAAAAAGTTTTTTTATATGAGAAGGTCCATAAAATTGATATGCACCCAAGGTGCACCAAAGAAGCACTCATGTATTTCCTCCGCCCTTACTTATATTGCATGTTTTCCTTTTTCGTCCGTCCGAAAATAAATCGCATGTTTACTTAAGGAATAATGGTGTTTACAAGAGGGAATATATATAGGAAGAGATCCTGGCATAATTCAAACTCTACCTATTATGGAAACTGACAAGTATATGAATTCTACTATAGTTAGGAGTACTAATATTATTTCTATAAAATCCCCCATCAAGCTGTACACCGTGAAGCGAGAGGAATTAAAGCTTAGACACAAGAGTTTTGAAGCGCAATGCAGGTAAAGCTTTGGTGAGCAAATCGGCTAGCTGGTCGGCCGAAGAAACATGAGAGACAGTCATAGCTTCAGCAATAACTTGTTCTCGAAAAAATGACAATCGGTACCAACATGCTTCAAACATTTATGAAACACCGGATTCTTAGTTAAGCTGATGGCTGACTGATTATCGCAGAGCATGTGAGGTGGAGGCAAATAGATGCGTAGGAGATCATAGAGATAGGTGATCCACATGACCTCTGACACTGCAGCAGAGAGAGCATGATATTCTGCCTCAGTGGAAGACTTGGAGACACGACTCTATTTTTTTGTGCTCCATTAAATAAGATTATGACCAAGATAAATCAAGTACTCAGTTGTGGAACGGCCATCAGTTAGATTATCCGCCCAGTCAGAATGAGAGTAAGCATGCAACTTCAAAGCACCCCGTCGAAATACTAGCCCTTGGTTAAGTGTCCCTTGAATGTAGTGTATAATTTTTTAAAGCGATTGAAAGTTCTACTCTGTAGGGGCATGTATACGCTGGTAGACATGATTGACATCAAACTGGATATCCGGTCGAGTATTGGTTAGATACTGTAGAGCACCAACCAAACTACGGAAGAAGGTGGGCTTTGAAAACGGCTTTTCCGCACCCTCTTTGCTTGATCGAACCGGCATAGAAGTAGGGGACGGTTTGCAACCTTCCACCCCTACACAGTGAAGTAGCTCTCAAGCATATTTTCTCTAAGAGAGTGTTAAGCCCTCTTTTGTGCGTGTAACCTCCAGGCCCAAAAAGAAGTGAATGGGACCAAGATCTTTCATTTGGAACTCCTGTTGAAGAGCATGATGAAAGGTGTTGATGAGAAGAGAGGAGCTACATGTAACAATGATGTCATCAACATACAATCGAAGGATAAAAATGCCTTGTGGGGTATGCATAACAAAAAATAGTGTCATGTTGATTATCCCAAAAGCCATAATCCAAAAGAAAACTCGATAGTCGCTGGTACCATGCTCTAGGGGCCTGCTTGAGACCATATAGCGACTTATTCAAGTGTTAGGCATAGTGAGGAAATTGCTGATTAATGTAACCCGGTGCCTGCTGCATATAAATCTACTCAGGGAAGTGACCATGAAGAAAGGCATTGGAAAGATCCAGTTGATGTAATGGCCAATCATAAGTGACATACTTGTGATACTTGGAAATTGAACCCTTAGCATTATGTCTAGTTTTATAAACCCACTTACAACCAATGGGAAGACGATCGCTGGGAGGTAGAACAAGGTCCCATGTGTTCTGCTTCATCAAGGCATTAAATTCCTCATCCATAGCTTGATACCAATAACATTTTTGGAGGTTTCTTTGTATGTAACATGCTCAGTGATAGAAGGTGTAAAGGAAGGGATATTGGCTGCATAAAGCTTGGGTTTAAATATACCACTATGGGATCGGGTAGTCATATGGTGGCGTGGAGGAGGCGGGGCTGGAGAGGAAATATGTGACGATTCGAGATGCAGTGGTGAAGGTGGAAGGCTGCCAAATTGGATAGGCTTATTGGGGGTTGTATGAGGGATGTGTGTGGTGGTTGTGGGTTGGGCACGGTGGGTGTATATTGGGCAAAATGATTGGGCTGGTTATTGGGTGGGGTGGTTGTGGGTTGTGCCGAGTTAGTGTTGGAGGTGGGCACACCTAGGGTTTTGGGTTGGGCCGTTGCATGGGTAGGAACGGGTAAGAAACATGGGTCTGGTCGAGTAAAGCAAGGTGGGTAGGGCCGAGAAGTGGGATTGAGGGAGGGAGTGGGGGTGTTTGTCCAGGGCTCCCTGTGAGCGAGAGTGTAGTCTGGTGATGAACTGACAGGAAAAAGGGGTAAGTCGCCAGAGAATTGTGACGGAGAGGAGGACACTATACCAAAGAGATATGAGTACGAAAATTAATTTTCCTAAAACTCAACATGATGCGAGATATGAACACGTTTGGTGGATGGATCATAGCAGCGATATCCCTTAGCCAAGAAAAACATAGCATTTGGACTTGGGTTGAAACTTGTAATCTATTTCATGACGAAGGCAGGGATGTCTAGATAGCCAAAGACTCTAAGAATGGAATAATCAGGAGGAGTGTGATAAAGAGCCTCATAAGGGGACATGGAATGGAGAGATTTTTTGGCATTCGATTAATTAGGAAGTTGGCGATAGCTAGAGCCTTTACCCCAAAAGGTGACGGGAAGGGATGTCGTGCAGAGAATCACTGTAAAAATAATCTGAACTTATTGTTGACATATTCACGACCATTATCTGTTCGAAAAATTTTGATTTGAATTTGAAATTGTTCTGAACCATACGTTGAAAAGTCATAAAGGCATCATAAGCTTCACACTTATGTCGAAGAGGATACAACCAACAAAATTCGGTAAAGTCATTAATGAAATTCATGTCAAAATGATTCCCCCAAATGAGGGTATAGAAATAAGTCCTCATTCATTAGAATGAACTAACTCAAAAGGTGAAGTAGTAGTAGTTTGAGATATGGGGAAAGGAAGTTTATGAGACTTAGCTATAGAACATGAATCACAGTGGTCGAGTT